CACTTCTTACGTTTTTGTTGTTTCAATATCCGAACTTCCCCTGCATCAGCAACTTCTTGCATGCATCTTGTCTCAATATCTAAATTTCCCTTCCCCTGTGCCAGGTCCAAAAAACCATGTACAGGTTCAAAAAAAGAAGGCGCCACGGTCCAAAAAAAAATCCAGCCCAATGTGAGCGCCTATAACAACGGAGTTCCCCCCCCACCCTTTGGAGGCAAGGTTCGCGAAGTAGGTGCACGGGTCCAAAAAACAGAAACCGAGGTCAGAAACAATTAATTTGGCTGTCTAATAAAATTTCCCTGGGTCCAGCACAAATACATGCAGGTCCAAGAAAAATATCTTCACAGGGTCCAGAAAACACACAGGCACGTCGCCCCACATTTTTTGTGCCCCCAGGTCCCGAAAAAAATCCGGCCAGGTCCAAAAAACATGTGCGGGTCCAAAAAAAAGAAAAAACATGCATCCCGATTTACTGCGTACCTCGCAGGCCGAACGAAAAAATGCGGAACGTGTACAGTCGACGGAGCAACGCAACAAGCAGCACTAAAAGAACGTGCCCGGCAGTTTCATGATCTTTGGGACCCCATGTTGGAGCGGAATCAATGAAACAATCGATGAATGCACCCAAACACTCAGCCTTGGCCGCAAAGGCGTGAATGAACACCTGCTGCTTTCCGATGCTATTCGTTCCTGGCTTCAGGGCAAAAAGACAGTGCCTATCTCTTCACTTGCAGTGTCAAGCTGGTTGTTTGCCGGCTGTGACCGATGTCCACAATGAGAATTGCCACAGCTTTGGCTAACCCTGGATAGCCCGTGATAGCATACCCGGATATACCCGGCCTTTTCACCACGCATGGGGGGCGAGCCCAGCACCACTGACGCAAGCGAGTCCCGGGTCAAAGCGTTCAAGGCTTGCTGCAAGCGTGGATCCTCCTGGAGAAAACTTGGCACGACGGCTGCACGGCGATGAAGCATATTTTATTACCATGCCCATCCCTTCACTGATGACGCCTGTCTGATGCCGTAGAAGGCCAAGAAGCTATTGAAGGTCCGTGCTTCCTCTGGAAGGAGAAAATACACATCCATGCAAATGATTTAGATGTAATGTGGCAAAACAAGGAGCTTTCAGTATTCATGACAAACAGCTGGGCAGCGTCGCCTGGGGGTCTACACGACACAAGACCAGTAGCCTTTTCACGCAAAGCCTCGGGCACGAGTCTACTTGTTTTGAGCTGGATCGCGACGTGTCAATCAAACAGGTCAAACAGGACTTTTCCTTGCAGAACGGTTAAGTTTTGTTCGCACAATTGTTCAACTACTTAAGTCGCACTTGGGCAGTGCACATTGCTACATGCGTCTGCTTTTCCTAGAAATTTGATTTCCAATCAAACTGGGGCGTTTTGAGCTTGGCACTCACCATATTCCTCTGGAGCTGTCTGCAAAGGAAGAGGTCCAATAGCATTCATCGCCACGGCAAAAACATCGCCTCAGTACAAAGGACAAGGGTGGTAGTATTCCTCGAGATTAGTTTGCCAAATCACACAATGAGTCGAGTCTCCAGCAGTACCACGGTGTCCAGAGACATTCTGCCTTCCTCTGTCCCTTTTTCCCGAGAGCGTCTGAGCGAAGGCTTCTTCTAATACTGGAGGTCTGCTATACAACTTCATATGTTCACACCTTCATCACACCTTCACATCTTCTCATCTTCACATCGTCATCACATCTTCTCATCTTCTCATCGTCACATCTTCACTCTCTCTCTCTCTCTCTCCCTCTCCCCCCCTTGCCCTCTGTCAGGGTCTCTCTCCTTCTTTTTCTCTTCTCTCTTTAGGCCGCGGGCGGTGAGGAAGCGCCACGAAATAGCCACCCTTTCGCACGAAATGAGGTTCGAGTGTCAAACACTGAGTGTTTTTTGCAAGTTTTGGAATGCGGTGTGTGCCAAAGGGTTTGTGTGTAAAAGTGTCTGTGTGTAAACGCTTCTGTGTGTAAAAGCTTCTGTGTGTAAAAGCTTCTGTGTGTAAAAAAAAGCTTCTCAGTGTAAAGCAACTGTGTGTAAAAGCGTCTGTGTGTAAAAGCTTTTGTGTGTGAAAGCTTCTATGTGTAACAGCGTCTGTGTGTAAAAGGGTTTGTGTGTAAAAGCGTCTGTGCCTAAAAGCTTTTGTGTGTAAAAGCGTTCGTGCGAAAAAGCGTTTGTGCGTAAAAGTGTTTCTGTGTAAACGTGTTTCTGTGTAACCGCGTTTGCGTGTAAACATGTTTTTAGAAGCGTTGGTGTGTAAAAGTGTTTGTGTTTAGAAGTTGAGGAGAAGGATGAGGATGAGGATGAGGAGGAGGATGAGGAGGATGAGGAGGATGAGGAGGAGGATGAGGATGAAGATGATGATGATGGTGATGGTGATGGTGATGGTGATGATGATGATGATGATGATGATGATGATGTGTGTAAAAGCTTCTGTGTAAAAGCTTCTGTGTGTAAAAGGCTTCTGTGTGTAAAAGCATCTGTGTGTGAAAGCTCTTGTGTGTAAAAGCTTCTGTGTGTAAAAGTGTCTGTGTGTAAAAGCGTCTGTGTGTAAAAGGGTTTGTGTGTAAAAGGCTTTGTGTGTAAAAACGTTTGTCTGTAAAAGCGTTTGTGTGTAGAAGCATTCGTGAGTAAAAGCATGTGTGCGTAAAAAGTGCTTCTGAGAAAAGTGTTTCTTTGTAACCGCGTTTCCGTGCAAACGTGTTTGTAGAAGCGTTGGTGTGTAAAAATGTGTGTGTGTAAAAGCGTCTGTGTAAAAGCGTCTGTGTCTAAAAGCATTTGTGTGTAAAAGCGTGTGCGTGAGTGTAAAAGCGTTCGTGTAAAAAAGTGTTTGTGCCTAAATGTGTTTCTGTGTAAAAGGGTTTGTGTGTAAAAAGCTTCTGTGTGTAAAAGCGTCTGTGTGTAAAAGGCTCTGTTTGTAAAAGTGTCTGTGTGTAAAAAAGTCTATGTGTAAAAGTGTCTTTGTGTGTAAAAATGTCTGTGTGTAACAGTGTCTTTGTGTGTAAAAGCGTCTGTGTGTAAAAGCGTCTGTGTGTAAAAGCGTCTGTGTGTAAAAGCGTCTGTGTGTAAAAGCGTCTGTGTGTAAAAGTGTCTGTGTGTAAAAGCGTCTGTGTGTAAAAGCGTCTGTGTGTAAAAGCTTTTGTGTGTAAAAGCGTCTGTGTGTAAAAGTGTCTGTGTGTAAAAGAGCTTGTTTGTAAAGGGATCTGTGTCGTACCTGAGTGTAAAAGTGTCTGATGTAGATTTTTTTATATACTTTTCTTCGATTTTCATCTTAAAGCTTTGACATGTTCTCTTTTTCTTCTCGTCTGCCTATAATATATCTTTAACATTTTGTCTTGATACTAACAACAGAAGAAATTGCTCATGTACGCTCTCGGGCCATCCGTCGTCTAGTTTCACATTTCCGGCGGTGCAGTCCTAGTGCTTGCTAAATTCCCGTTTTATTTGTCTATCCTTCGGCTATCATTTTTCACCAAGAAACGTCCCTGAAGAATTATGTCAAATGCCAGATGACCAAGTGAAACTATGCTAACTCACATCCACATAGACATGTTATTTCTGGTCTGGTTCACTCCAACTTAGACCTTACTTTCAAGGGCATCTTGCTGCGCATTCCGCCAGGGTTTTGGCACGTTCATTCCCATCAGCATTGGCCCATGCAGTGATGGGATCTTAATGAGTCCCAGTTGCCGAGCTCCTTCTTGTCTGGCCAGGGCAACTTTTCTGCCTCCTCCACCAGTCTCAAGATCTGTCTCACATCACCTGGCAGGGCCAAACTGATTGAACAAATGGATACGAAATGATACGAAATGATACGAAATGATACAAATGGTGGTTGAACTGCTGTGTGTCGGCTTTCATCCAGTGGCACAGCCACCTGAACGTGTGAGGTCTGCCACCTTACAAATCTAATGAACTGACAGATTTCGAATCACAAACCATGAGCACATCCAGAAATTGATACGAAAACCATTCCATTGAAAATTCTGTTCAAAGTTCAAACCTGTTTTCTCACATCGCCAATGCTGTGGACTGGAGCCGGTGAGTGCATGCCGGTTAGTGCATCTCTATTATCCCATTCGCATTCACCCTGTTGGAAAGATCTGATGAAAATCAAACACTTCCTGCTGGAGACAAAGCCATCTATCATCTATCATCATCTATCGTGAAATTCACAAAAATATACCAGAACCTGTGCACAAAGTAAGAGTTTCCTGTCAGTTTCTTGTCACATCTGTCACAACAGCTGGTGGAATCCTGTGGATCGCCTGCAGCTTGTCTCAAGTTTCGCTTGATGTAGCTCCTGCCAGTCATGGCCAATTTTCTGGCCTCACCTCAGTCGAAATTCTTTGCGAAGACTGCCCGGAATACTTCACCTCATCTCCGGAATACTACATTGAACTGCCAGTGTATCCGATACGGACCGACAGTCGCAAGACCAGTCCAGGCTTCATGTAGCTCATCCAAAAAAAAACGTAGTCAGTTTGAGGTCAGTGCTGTTGAACTCAGACACTTGCTCAACCAGAAAATATACAAATCCTACTGGCCGCCCTGCTCGTAGATTCTTCGGAAAGATTGTGCGGGTATGTTTATCCGCGATTGCCTTCTGAGACGTGCTCTATGAAAGGACCTCTCTTGGCTCAAATAGCCAAAAAATATGTTGGAAATAAGGTTCAAAATTCCCAAGAAGCAATACAATCCTAGGACTAGTGTGTGCAATAAACAAGGAGTTCTTAAAGATTGCTTTGTTCCGTCCATACTTCCATCTAAGCCGAACTGGCCATATTTGCAGAGTGGGCGATATGGTGCAGGATCACGCGAACCCCAAATATAGAAGTTTTGCAAGAGCATGCAAGAGCAAACCACGGACCAGAGACATCAAACATGAGACTGACTACCTTTCAGGTCCGGAGTGATTGACTAACTGTTTTTGGAACAAGTGATATCAAGCATGTCAAAAAATGTGTGAGTTGCGCTTTCGGGCTTTTCTGCATGGTTCTTCGATAAGCGCTCAGGGCTGTGTTGAAGCTGCGCTTGTCCCGAGGAAGCTGCCTCTGGCAAAGTTCACTCTTTTCAGTATCACTTTGTTACTGCGACTGGTATCCATCAGCAAAATTGTCAACCAAGACTTCAAGTTCAAAGATCCAAAGGGTGGTCAAACGAATAGGCTGGCTCTCCAAACTTCAAGACATTCAGACTGCAAGCGCAAATCTTCGCCTGCACTCGATTTCTTCCAACAAGCTCAAGGCCTTAGCCAGATCGGAATGCAGGAACGCAGTCTTCCTGGCAGTTGGAGACCCAGCGCAACTTGACAGGTCAGAACTCAGACTGGTGCAATCTGCCAATTGTTGCCTCCAGAAAAGGTATGAAAGCTGTGGAGGCTGATGCAGGTTCACTGGCTGGATCGAATGTTCCCGCTGGAAATAAAATCGAAATACTTTATATATATATATTATGTATATATATATATATTATGTATATATATATACTATGTATATATATATTATGTATGTATATATATATATTATGTGTATATATATATATATATTATGTGTATATACATTAGGGGTCGAAATTAAGCTGGCATTTTTTTTGTGGCATTTTTTTTTGTGGCATGTTTTTTTTTGTCGTCCAGGCTCCCTTCCTTGGTTCTTGCAGCTAAAATCTTTCATTTGCTGCATTTTGTAGCTAAAATCTCTCATTCGTACTGTTCATCAATTTGTCCACTGGTTTCAGGATTTGTTTCATGGTTTTTATCTCGTTTTCCATTGTTTTCATTGGTTTGTCCATGATGTTCTTCAATTTTTCCATGGTTTTCTTCAATTGTTCCATGGTTTCTTCAATTTTTCCATGGTTTTCTTCAATTGTTCTATGGTTTTCTTCGATTGTTCCATGGTTTTCTTCCACTTTTCAATGGTTTTCTTTAAATATTTCTATGTGTTCTTTTTATTTGTGCATGGTTTTCATTCAGTTTTCACTTGTTTTTATTGATTGTTCCAGAGTTTTCATTGAGTTTTTATATGACTAATCATGACTATATGTATATGTAGATCAGTGTATTTACACGTGTATTTAATATATATATATGCAGGGTTTGGTTTAGGGTTTATTTGGGGTTGGTTTATGGTTTCTTCTAGATTTGTTTAGGGTCTATTTAGGGTTGGTTTAAGGTTTCTTTAGGGCTGGTTTAGGGTCTGATCAGGGTTTGTTTAGGGTTGGATTAGGAGTCGGATACAACATGTTACATACAAATAACTATAATTATGTGGATGCATATCCATGCGCATGATTATTTATAGTTTATTTTGGGATGAAAGCTGTGTATATAAACAACCATAAATATGTATATACATATTTAAATGTGTATATATATATGTGTACATATATATATCTATAAGTATATGTATGTGTATTTATGTATATATATATGTATGTATATATTGCAATATATATGTATATATATATGTATATATATATATATGTATATATATATGTATATATATATGTATATATATACATATATGTATATATATATATGTTATTATATATATGTTATTATATATATACATATGTATATATATATATATGTGTGTAGAGTCGAATCAAACTAGCATATTGAAAAGTTTGCAAGTTTGAATTTAAACAATAATTAAAAAAAAGGGGGGGAGGGGGGGATTGGGGGGAAGGGCTGAACAAGGGCGCAGCGCCTCCCCCCCAAAGCAGATTGGAAACACCTATTTTCACATGCAAGGTGCTGGGTTGAATGTGATACTCAAGGTGTATATACTACACGACATGCACCCTGCAAACATGTGGAATGTAGGTTAAGGCACAACGATGCACAATAGTTTCATTGGATGTTATCATCGTCTTGGTTTAAGATCTCTTTATAAAAGGTTGGTGTGCTGTATATTCTGGCTTGGTTCAGGGGTGGCTTGGGCTTTGAACATCATCTCGATGATAATGCAAACCTTTTAGATAGATAGATATAGATCTAGATGTAGATATAGATATAGATAGATTTCAATAGATCTGGATAGATATAGACATAGATATAGACATAGATAGATATAGATAGGTATAGATAGAGTTTATAGATATAGATAGAGATAGAGATAGATGGATGAAACATGCACCTGGTGAACATGCTTCACTGATAGATTGATCGATAATAGAAGAGCGATAGGAGCCATAGAAGACATAGAAGCCGCAGAAGCCGCAGAAGCCACAGAAGCCACCAGGAGCCACCAGGAGCCACCAGGAGCCACCAGGAGCCACCAGGAGCCATGGAAGCCACAGAAGCCACCAGGAGCCACCGGAGCCACCAGGAGCCACCAGGAGCCACCAGGAGCCACCAGGAGCCACCAGGAGCCACCAGGAGCCACCAGGAGCCAGGACCAACAAAAAAATGCCAAAAAACAAACTATATTATTATTATTATTATCATTATTATATATATATAATATTTAAAAAATAATAATACTATATATATATATATTATATTATATATATATATTTATATTGTATATTATATAGACATATATATTATTTCATATAGATTATACATTAAATATTGTTTTTTATATAATTATATAATATTAAATATAAAATAAAATATAATATATATTTAGAGACTAACAACCTATGTGGGGATATACCCCCAGAATATGGCCAAAAATATGGTACAGTACATCCATTTTAGGATCCTGAAATTCCCATTGAACATATGTTTTACCCTTTGGATTGAACTGTGCTAGTGCTCTCAGGAAACAGCCTTGGCCCGGAATGATCAAACTTGCTGAGAAGGTTCGGCATGGTTTTCTTGAATGAATGGGTCTGCCTCTTTGCCCTACACCAGCCTTGAGCACAAGCCTGCAATGCAGCTTCATAGCTACGAATTCCAGGGTTTTCTGCCTCAGGAGAATCTTGTATCAGATGTATAGATTCTAGCAGCCACATCCAGCTACCAAAAGAACGATTGGGTTTAATTGTTGTTTCGTGACGACAAAAGCTTTGGCCTCAAGATTGGTGCAACACGGTTTTTCGGCAGGGTAATTCAGCAATTATCAAATAGCATCGCTGAAAGACAAGAAAATTTGGAAGAATCGTCTCACCACCAACCCTGAGAGTCCTTACATTTGCCTGCTGGAATTCAGCCTGAAATAGCTGCAATGCCTCAGCAACGACCCAACAGCAACCATGACACTCAACAACCATTCGCTTCATTCGATTCACAAACTGTCTTGAAACATAACAATTTGTTTTGATGTGGACTGGGCCAGACTATGAGGTCAAACATTGTTTCAGCCCAGCTCAAAAGGTGAATGAGAATCTGACAACTGAATTCACTGAATTAACAGGTTACACTTCTCGATTTGCGACTCACAAGCAATGCGCTCAGCAAACAAACGTCAAGCAAATCTCAAACTCAGAAATGTAGCAGTCTCGATTTCTGCGTGTCAACATGTTGTGCAGGGGTCATGCTAATCTTCAAACTGAACAGTTGACGGTCAAGATTTGGCCGCTGTTTCAAGAGTTTATATAGACCCATCCTTCCGGGTACCCCTACAGGAGAGTTGCCAGATTTGTTTGGACATCGTCCAACAAAATTGCAAAAGACCGTAGGGCAGTGGTTTCAAGGGCAGAGGTTCAAGCGGGGACAACATATTGACATCATATTCATATAGTTTGAGCCTTTGCTAAACCGGGAGAATCTGTTCCCAAACTTCATTTTCTGCATGTCACACTGCATGCTTTCTATGCCTTCAAAAGGGCTCCGACCTCAATCCAGCGAGTAGCATTTGCCAAAGCTAATACGACCTGAGCATCGTCGCTCCAACGGTGCCATCCCAATCCCACCTCCCGAAACGTACCAATCCGAACGTATCAAAGCCGGTACCCTCTGGTAAACTAACATAGCTATTGAACATTGCCATTTATAGTGGATTTTCCCATCAAAAATTGTGATTTTCCATAGTTATGTTAGTTTACCAGAGGGTATGCATTCCCAATCCTTTTTGGTGACTGAAAAAGTGCACTCTGAGATCTGCGGCAGCCCCAGCGCCAGGTTCCGAAGTATAGCCCAACATTCGAAGTCTGCCAAAAACCGACAAAGCCGCCTTCCAGACGAGGAGTATTGACAAACATCCCACTAAGTTGCATATGCTGCACAATGTGTTTATACAAGTATCTGGATGTATTTTGTGTTTTCATACGTGGTGTGATGGACGCTCGAAAATGTGTTCAGGAATTGTAAACTCTTTCATGTTCACTGGCAACTAAAGCTGTGCTGGATGACCAGAAAGGGTGCAGAATAAATAGTTTTTGGATTTTTTTGTTGGCTCAGGTTTTGGAATTTTTGTTGGTTTTCTTTCCTGGTACTATCTGCCTTGTATTTGCAACAGTTTGGAACTAGAATCTGTCATTTTGCATGGTATTTGCTACATTTTCGCAAGGTCACTTTGCATTTTGCATGGTATTTGCTACATTTGGCCATGTTTGCCTTCCATTTTGCATGCTATTTTCCACGTTTTGGCACTTCAACCTCTCATTTGCCTGGTATTTGCTACATTTTGGTACTTCAAACGTTCATGTGGGTTTCTTGAGAGTTTCTTTAGGAATTCATTTAGGGTTTCATTTAGGGTTTCTTTAGGGTTTCATTTACTGTAGGGTTTCATTTAGGGTTTCATTTAAGGTTTCTTTAGGGCTTCATTTAGGGTTTCATTTAGGGTTTCATTTCAGGGGTAATTTAGGGTTTCTTTAGGCCTAGGGTTTCTTCAGAGTTTCGTTTAGGGATTCATCTAGGGTTTCTTATCAGGATTTCTTATCAGGATTTCCAAACGTTCATGTGGGTTTGTTCAGGGCTTCTTTAGGGTTTCATTTAGGGTTTCTTTCGGGTTTCATTTAGGGTTTCTGTAGGGTTTCATGTAGAGTCTCATTTAGGGTTTCTTTAGGGTCTCATTTAGGGTTTAATGTAGGGTTTCTTTACGTTTAGGGTTTCTTTAGCTTTAGGGTTTCTTTAGAGTTTCGTTTAGGGTTTCTTTAGGGTTTCATGTAGGGTTTCTTATCAGGATTTCTTATCAGGATTTTCAAACGTTCATGTGGTTTTCTTTAGGGCTTCTTTAGGGTTTCATTTGGGGCTTCATTTAGGGTTTCTTTAGGGTTTCATTTCAGGTTTCATTTAGGGTTTCTGTAGGTTTATGGTTTCTTTAGAGTTTCGTTTAGGGTTTCTTTTGGGTTTCATTTAGGGTTTTTTAGAGTGTCGTTTAGGGTTTCTTTAGGATGTCATTTAGGGTTTCATTCAAAGTTTCTTTAGGATTTCTTTAGGGTTTCTTTGGGTTTCACCTAGGGTGTTTACAAACTGGAGAGAATAAAGCAAAAGAAAAGAAAAAACAAAGAGGCAGTAAAGACAGGAAGCAGAGCAGCAGAGGAGCAGGAAGTAGAGTCGTAAAAACACATGACTGAAGAAAAGAAAAAGTAGAATAGTAGAAGTAGAAAGGCACAGAAGCACAAAAGCAGAAAAGCAGAGAAGCAGGGAGAGCAGAGAAGCAGAAAAGAAAAGAAGCACATCAGGGTAAAGCACAAAAGCAGAAAAGCAGAGGAGCAGGGAAAGCAGAGAAGCAGAAAAGAAAAGAAGCAGGTAAAGCAGAGAAACAGACAAGCAGAGAAGCAGACAAGCAGAGAAGCAGGAAAGCATAGAACCAGGAACCCAAAAATAATTCCAAAACCTGCCGAAACAAAAATACCAAAAATAAACAGCCCTCCATTGTATATACAACAAACCTGCTTGGTCGGTATCCAAAGCCCATGCCAGTGTCCAGACCCTTCACCGCCTCCCAATTTCCAGCCCTGCGACAGGCATCGATGCTGGCAGAGAGAACAGCAACCTGGCGAAACCCAGCGCCCCAGCTGCTGTCTTGGACAAGTTGAAATGTTCTTGGACTGTTGGAATACAAAAGATTGTAAAAAAAGAAAAACATATCACTTGCGTGTGGTTCAAAGCGAGCCGATAAAAAATGAAATCGTGTACTTATGTCCCATGTTCTGTGGCCGTTGTACTTAGCGATTTCTGAGGTCAGGCTAGGCGACGGCAGTCTATGCTCTAAAGACACCGCCAGCTTTACATCTTGGGCAAGTTCACCTGACCCATTTGCAATCACCAGTGCCTGGAGTATTGCACTCAGAACGATCTCATTGTACCCTCAACGATTTCTGAAAAATGAATTTGAAGATTTCAGTGCTATGGTACGGCGCATTATGGTAAAGTATGGTACAGTATGGTGCACGTTGGTACAACATACAGTGTAACACAAGTAAACCAACATAAGTAGACATAAGTTGCATCCACATCCCATCATTTTGAAGACAACTGTTGCACATCGATCCGTACCTGTTGCCATTGGAAGGCTCGGCCACATGCAGCAACTGCAGCGCTCACCACATGTTCAGCATCAAGCCTCAGTGCATCATGGCGACCTTTAGTCCTGAGGACCAAGTTCGCACAAGTTCGCACAAGTTACCATCTGGTTATGACTAACATAGCCATGGAAAATCACCATTTTTAATAGGTAAACCATCTATAAATGGGCCATTTTCCATGGCTATGTTAAATAACCAGAGGGTAAGAATATGTTAAGAATGCAACCCAGAAGATTTTGCTTTTTTCAGAAAGTAAAGTGCCAGCTCCCATGCACTGCCTTCAGGGATGCTGAGCTGGGCAAATGACCTAAAATCAAATCCTGGGCCTGAGACAAAGTAACCATAATCAAAAGTTTTGCTTCGCGGAGCCTTTGCTGGAAGCAGACAAGATCATTGAGTAGGTGATATCCTGAAGTGATTGCGTCACATGATGTGAATTAAACCCGTCCAAGTCATCAACTCATTGTCCTCATGTTTTTGGTGCCGGCTAGTGGCCTTTTCTCTACATTGCTTATGTACTTGTCCATTATGTCGTGGTGGGGTCGGTTTGGGGGGGTGGGTTGGGGCAATAACGTCCTGGCTCTTGCGTACTTATTATATTTAATTAGTTGATGCTATGTCACAAGAACTTCTCTAGACTTCATGCTATGTTTGGATGGTTTCTCTTGTTCTTCTTAAAGAACTTCCAGCTACGCTAAGATGTCAATTAGTTGATGCTGTGTCACAAGAACTTCTATAGACTTCATGCTACACTAGGATGGTTTATCTTCTTCTTCTTAAAGAACTTCCAGCTATGTTAAGAAGTAGTTGATGCTATGTCACAAGAACTTCTCTAGACTTCATGCTAGGCTAGGATGGTTTCTCTTGTTCTTCTTAAAGAACTTCCAGCTATGTTAAGATGTCAATTAGTTGACGCTGTGTCACAAGAACTTCTATAGACTTCATGCTACGCTAGGATGGTTTATCTTCTTCTTCTTAAAGAACTTCCAGCTATGTTAAGAAGTAGTTGATGCTATGTCACAAGAACTTCTCTAGACTTCATGCTAGGCTAGGATGGTTTCTCTTGTTCTTCTTAAAGAACTTCCAGCTATGTTAAGATATATATATATATATATACACCATGTGAAGAAAGCTGGAATTCAGCAGTGTGACAGAATCTGGGAACACCTTAAGAAGTCCATCCCCAAATCAGTCAACAGTCGATCCTGTGCCACAAATATGGCAAAAGCAAAGTTTGAAGCGGCCCCCTCGCTTGAAAAAAGAGTGCGAAGTCTTGGAAGGGTTATCAAAAATGGGATCTGCAGGGAACCCTTCCAATGGTTTTGAGACCTTTTCCAACATCGATTCAAGGTGAAATTCTTCAAAACCTTCAGTTTTTGATCATTGCCAAAGTCTCCAATCAAACATTACCATAAACGCACGTCACCTTATAGGGGCCGGCACCATGTTTTTGTTTACGGATTGAAAACCGAACGTGAGTTTTGCGAATTTTTGCGTGTTCTGTGAGATCACTGTGGTATGGGTGGGGTGGAGCGGGGTGCAATCCAAGCAAAAGATTTTGAGAGTGAAAGGTTTCGATTGAATTTCACGATTGTGTGTGGGACAAAGGCAAGCACTTGTTTGCTTAGATGTTTGCTTAGACGGAGCAAAGTGTTTCCCAGACTGGCAGCAGCTCACAAGTCGACACACATGGCATGTTCTCATTGCGAAAATGAATCTGTCGGAAAAACAAACAGCATGCTGGAAGATCGTTCTTAATTCACACTGGTACCACCGATGCGTGCTGGGGAAGGTTTAAAAAACAAATACCCTCTTAGTTGCCAACGTGCAAAAAAGACCAAGACAGTTTGAATGGGCTGATATGGAAATATATTCGCTCATGGCAATGGCGATGGGCATCAAATGTTGTAGGATTTACCCTTGAAAAAAACAATAGGTGCCTACTTCTCCAATATCTGAAAATCACCGGCCAAAAGCGCTGGTGCTGTTGTTTCGGGCACATGGGCTCCCCAAATGAATCATTTTGTACACTGCATTACAATAAATATTGAAAAACACTCGAGGACAAAATAATGAAAAAACACTGCAAATACATGATTGATATGATCCCAGTTGCTCAAACTTCCCGAATTTGCACATTCAATTTCCAGCCCGGCTGGATGTGTTTGGTTTCTTTTTGTGACGCACCCATGATTTGGGTAATAATAACAATAGTGTACAGTGTTATTTCGAAGTAGTGTAGTGTGTAGAAGTGTCTGTGGGCCTTGAAGTTTTACACCAAAAACTCATGTTCATGTACCTGAAACGTTCACTTTTTCTGCGATAAACTCTGCCTTGACTCCAACCACTTGTAGGCCTAAGTAGGCCTTATACAAATAATCCCAGTCTTACCAGTGTGTGCAATGCCTCAGAATTTCTGTGTGGATCCACCAGAAATTTCCCTGAACTTTTCCAAGCCCCACACGTCCCAGGCGGAGACTGCTTCCATTCCCAATTGCAGAGCCATCCTTGGCGCAGAATTCTGTTTGGAAGATGAATGTCTTCAAATCATCCGTGGTGGAAACGTGCTCAAGACTCCTTTAGACTTTTGACTTTACATTTGTGGACATGAATTGGCTTAGTTACTGTTTTCTTAGGACCTGTGCTAACCAAGCCTCTTGCTCCCATTGTGATCCAGCGCGGCAAGTGTTGATTGCCGCATTTAGTCCTGCATTCCAGCGGTCCAATAAAAAAGATACATTCCCATGATTGTGGCAAGTGCATCTATTTCCCTGCACACCAAGTCGCAGTTTTGAGTTTCCCGCTCCTTTGGTCTCCTGCAAAAAACCATTCTTCGCGATCAGGAGCAAACCCTGTTCCTTCAAAGCTGGAAGCAAAACAGCACATGTTGAATTTTATATGTATCAACCGCAAGATGTGGGACTCCAATTTTCGAGCATTCAAACTGTACCAAAAAAAAATTGTCAGTCACTCTGGGTTTCAAACCCAAAGTTTTTGCCTGGAAGTGATACGGCACGGATTCTACTCCTAACATAAGAGCAGCATCCTGATCTGAAGCAAAGTTGGGACTTAATTGGCCTGGAAAGAGCCGCAGCGCAAATGGCAGCTTCCTGCGAGCCAGACTTTAGTAGTTGGGACCCTCACAACAAGAGGCTGGTCTATTGTGATATGGGTACATTCAGCACAGCAAGCAAGTTCCGAACAGTGGCAATGTTTCTGAATCCAACGGACCTTTCAAAACTGGCAACTGAAAATATCACAAAACAGAGGTTTTGGAGTCTGGATCACCCTGTTGATACCAAGTGTTCACTGAGATTACGCACAAAAAGTTGCTGTGTTTCAATTTTTTTGGGGGGGCGGGGACATTCGGATTTTTCCCACCACTTGAATCAGTTCAGCACCTGGCTTTCTCGCAAGGGACCATCACGAAGAAGCAGCTGCACCTGTCAAATTCCACCATTTTTTTGTGTTTCAGTGACCACAATCACGCAGCACCGATATTACTGTTCGTGAAACATCTAACAGTTCAGTTGAGACGGGCACAAAAACATGGAAAATTTTGATGAATTGCAAAAAGATCTTAGAGGGGAACAGAATCCACAACGGCATGGCGACGTTTTGACCTGCCCGAGTTCCAAAGGCGAGAAATGTTTTGCTGTACTGTATAGCATACCATGAAACGACATCGGTTTTGCTACGCACAAAAATGAAGATGTTTCGGACAATTGATTAACAGTGATTTGAACACACATCAACCTTTTTACAAATGGCACTGCAACAACATCAATCGATATCATTGAACGCGACTTCGGCCTGTCACGCACATCTGCCAACCTACAGTAAACGTGAACATTGTCGTGCCAAACCGGGAATTTTTGGCATCAAAATTTACGCAATGTCAAAATCACGTGATCCCCATCGTTTGAAGAATCAAACTAAGTTGAATGATCGTCGTTGAACAAAAATATTGATCGTACGGTCCAAGTTTGTGACAAGGATTCCCTGCTCACAGAAAATTTTCGCGACGATGCCTCACATTCATGACAATTTGTTTCACGCCATTTCACATTTGACATTTTTGATCTACAATCATTTTGGACATGTCTCAATTGTCATGAATGTCGTCACGTTTTGCTGTCGCAAACACATATCGTCACGCTTTGCTGTCCCAAACACATGTCCAAAACATGTCATATGTGCACAAAGCGCGGTCATGCAAAAATCAGTGGTGCAGGATGCCTTTGTGCAAAATATTTTCCATGGCAGAATGTTTTTCGGCATTGCAGTGCAGTTTTTGCAATCAACACATTTGCACAATACAAAAAACATGAAACCGCAATACGAAACATTCATAGTGTGTTTGTAGTTGCTTAAATTGTGGGAAATGATGACCGCAATCGTTTGCACTGAAGTAATTGCAATCGTTTGCACTGAAGTAATTGGGCATCATGCGCATGTCTTAAATTGGAATCTGTGCAAGCCTGGAAACAGCAGCAATAAAAACACTATGGTTTTCAACATGCGTCAGAGACAACACATGAAATTGAATTTGATTTCATTATTTCGTACATGCCGATTGCTGGTTGGCAAGAACACGAACACATGGAAAACAAGAAACGGCATTTTGTCACCAGCACAAAAATAAATTTAAGTACAGTAAAACAACAATAAATGTGATTGGACTAGTATTGCCAAACATTTTTTTATGATGAAATATCAGCTGTGAAAATGAAATTGCCGTGGTCTCCCATGTCATGATTTGTTCTGCGTGGCAACAAAAAATAACAGAACATAATGATACACCAAACAAAAAGCAAACGTAATGGATCTTATTCGTCAACTTCAATGAAGGCATGTTGAAGCAGGGTGTCTCTTTTTCCAACCCGTTTGCAAGCCCGTGAAAAAAACGAGTACCACGCCCGCCCTTGATTGAAATTGCAGTGCATGAAGAAGGATGAGAATGCGCATGCCCACAAACTTTGTTTGTTGCTCATTTCTGTTTGACTGTTAGACCACTCCGTGAACGTCACCATGGTGATAAATTTGGGCCACCACGATACAAATCAGCCAAGCGTATTGCTAACAAACCTACATGAGACACGGAATGTAAAGTTGTTTTTTGGTCAGTGCACGGACCGTTTAATGTGGTTTCAAGAGTTTGATGTTCTGGGGGTGGGCGGCGTTTCCTTTTGAGGATAATGTTCGGCATAGTTGTCAAAAAAATGGTGCTACAAAAAATCGGTTTTACAATGGCCAGTCTTGGCATCTATATATATGTTTTCTATGCGGGGTTTTGTTGCATCATGGGTTTGGTGGATGTTTCTGACTGAATTTTCACTCTGACAACCGTTTTTTTCACGGAAACAAACACGCATAGAACCACTGGGCTGCATAGATGCCATACCAATGCACGCGGCACGACCCCATGGTTCAAATCCTTGTTTTGGGTCCAAAGCATGTGCTGTTCAATTGTTGAACTGCATGCCATGGATCGCAAAGTTCGCAAACGTTTCATGTTTTGTTTCTGCGTACCACCCGCTGCGGGATAATCATGAGATTCAACTTGGTTGCAGGTGGTTTCTCCACGTCTTCGGTTTCTACGGAAGTTTCCGATGGAGTCACTCATAGCAAGGTTCTTGAAAGACAACTGGATTGCGAGTTGTTGCCCGGCACAAAAACTGTTTCTAAGAAGAATTCCAAAAATAATTGCGAGGCTGATGAAACTACGTGCATGTGCTATTTGCTTGGGGCCAAATCCATCTTATTTTTTTGGAACCAATGAATGTCCCCATTCAATGGGCAAATGATTACTGGCTCTGAAGGGGACAGGGCGCTTTTCCTCGCTTGAACATACAAATGCCTTGAAATGTCAGATGTGCAATTGCTCGGATACTACACTTGATCATAGCCGACGCATGGTTTCCTGGTCCCCGCTTCTTTCAGGAAGAAAAAACGAATGATCAAAAAGATCTGCATCACTGGCCCAAGGCATGTATACGCGCTTGACGCCAGCAGCACGAAAGTTCCACTATTGGCACGCATTTTCTCCGTGCCCCAATGTCCGCTATGGTCCTCTTGCTGAAAACTGTTCCACGGATTCTCCTGTGAAGCGCTATCCCTCTCAGTCGCAGCCGTATGCTCACCAGTGCTGCCCGACTGTGAAGACGTGCCTTTGGAAGTAAGCCAGACGCTGCAGCTGCAATGCCAAAGCCCAACCATGAAATCAAATTCATTGAGGCGGCGGCATGCAAGCCTGATCGTGAACTGTACTTGTGGGTGATGTTGGAGCCCCTGCTCATCTGAATCGCCACCAGAGCTCGAACATGATGAAATACCCTTGGATGAAGTCAGAGCCCCATACATGTTGAAAGCACTGCCAAGGTCCGAACGTGATGAAATACTGAGATAAAGAGACACGATCACCAGCACCTTTGCCAGAGCCCTGTGCGCCACTGGACCGACTGTGTTATCCTTGACATAGATGAAGACGCTCTATGCTTGTTTCCAATCGTATCAAACATCGGTTCAGTCGTTCACTCCTCATCACTATCAGACTGCTCCTGCTCAGCATTTGCTCCTGCTCAGCATTTGTTTCTCCTAATAGGCTGCGCGTGAAAACAAAGTAAATGCAAACTGAAAACCATCACAACGCAAACGGCAGTGCAATCACACACGAGCAACCTTTTCAGCTGCAAAGATGGAGAAGTGCCATTTCGTTTAGAAACAGATGCGTAACAGCATTGAAAGAACGGAATTTAGTTCGTAAAAGAAGACTGTAGCCAATTTGGCAAGGGATGAGAAGGGGAAATAAAAACCCCGAAGAGAAAAAGGAAGATAAAACTCCAAAAGATATGGCGAAGAACGCTTTCATAACAGAAACGAGACAAGGGTGGCAGAGGGCATAACAGAAACGAGACAAGGGTGGCAGAGGGCGGATCCTAGAAAACTTAGCCATTCTGCACGGAAATAAAACCCCTGGAATCAAAAGTGAGCAAAACTGACACAGAAAATGACATCACATGAAACAACTGACATCACCAGCACAGCTGTGAGAAACTGAAGTGACATCTGAACGGTTGTTTCTGTTGAGCCACGCACAAAACCCAATTTGTTTAAGGAAACGTCCACGCATTGCTCTAAACGACGTCACGTCACTTACCCCTACTACAACGAGTGGGTGAGTAAAACCGCGATACGAAACGCAAAGAGTGGAAGGTAAGGCACAGAGCATACGTCAGGGAGGGTAACAACTTACCCACCCACCAAAGGTTTCTTAGAAACAATCCCGTTACTCTTCACTTCCCAACTGGTTTTTGCTTCTTCAAAACCCAATCGCCGTGCGTGAAAACAAAGGTAAATGCAAACTGAAAACCATCACAACGTGAGCGACAAGTACAATCACACACGAGCACCGTTTTCAGCTGCAAAGATAGAGAAGTGCCATTTTCGTTTTGAAGCAGATGCGTAACAGCATTGGCATAACTGAACTTGTAAAAGAAGATTGTAGCCATTTTGGCAATGGATGAGAAGGGGAAATAAAACCCCCCTAGTCAATGAGACTTTCATCTCCATTCAGAGTTGCTAAATTTGGAACTTTCTTCTGTCATCTTTGCAGCGGCTGCCTCCAACATAAAAGATATACTCTGATAGTGGCTCTCTTTCTTTTGGAGACGGTTTGAAGAACATCAGAAGACTGATCATTGGGAACGTCAAGTCATCCCAAGATACCTGATTTTTTTTGCTCAAATCAAACCTATCGAACATTTGGCTGGTGAGATCATCCGCCGATCATCCGCCTCAACATTAACATCACGGGCTTCCGAAGCTTGCTGAGGCCAATTGCCCCGTAGCACGATTGTCCCCATTTGCTTTCTGATCTGGCCCGCAAAGGCCTCGACCTTGAAGACTTTGTTGCACCACCAATGACGCCTGTTCCCCCCTGAAAAGCCAGGGTGCCTGATGTGGAAAGACTCTCGCCAGGTCGTTAAGCAAGCCGGAAAGCCAGTTTCATATTTCAAATTCAGCGAATTAATGCAATAGCAACATCATAAAATCGACAATGTGCACCAAAAGTAGAACTGAGAAGGATCGATACATAATCCATTGAGCTGTCACCGTCGAGGACAAGAAACCAACCAAAAGAAAACAAACAAGAAACACAACGCAAAAGCAAAACAGAACCAACACACACAAACCAAAAACCAAACAAGACACAACCCAAAAAAAAAACACGGCCGGTGATCAGCTAGTCAGTTCATAGTCATCTGAAACGTATCAGGAGATGATAACATTGCATCACCTTTGGGATTGGTGTGGCAAAGGAAAACAAGAGCGAACAAACAAAAACACGAAAATGCCATACAGCAATCTATGAGCCAGGAAGCAACAAAGGCACAATGCGGAAACCGAGGCTCCCCCAGCCAGGAGCCTCGAGATCACAGAGTGCTAGCCGCGCGGGCAATATTCTCACCTCACGCAAGGAATCTTTCCGCAGTCCTGCAATAAATTGCTGCCGAATAAAGATGTAAACCGTCGCAGCACCAGGGCTCCAGCAGTTCCGGGACCAAACATCAGCTTCCAGCTTGTCTGTCCAATTGCATGTCTCTGGTCAGGTTGGTGTGGTTGTTCTGCCTCTTTTTGCCCTATGCACGGCTTGCTGTGGGTTGTGCTCCCGTAGCATCCGTTGCGTGGTAGGGAAGTGGTCGCCACATGGCACGAAAAGCTTTGGCCCTGTGGACGTTCGTCGTCTCTCTATGTCGGTGCTGTTGGTTGGTTCATTGACTCCCTTTTTTTTCCTCTGTTGTGGCCGATCTCGCTCTAAGGCTCGGTCCTGACAGTGAGAGAAGCGCTAAAACTGTACAAAATATGAAAACACTTTGGCTTCATGAACGAGGCACATCATGGTTAAGCCAAAACAAAGAGAAAACACGGCAACAGCGACGACCCGCAAATTTCTCCGCCAGATTTAGTGCAACCACCTCCGAACGTACCCTCCAGGGCGGGGCACGAAGGTGAGGGCTTGAAGCCTGTAGACCCGCTGAAAGGCAACGGCTCAAAAAAAAATTCCTGCAGCCTTTGCACCTGGTTTTTCTCCTGTTTTTGCAAAACATTTCGGAAGTGCGGCTGATAAAGTTCAGAGACTCGGTTCTGAAAGCTCCACAAACGTAATAAAAATGTCTTTTTTTTCCCTCGAGTGTGGCCGATGTCGCGCTAAAGGCTCGGTCCTTACATGAGAATAAGCAGGAAAGACATCTGTACAAGGACATATAAAGTCCATAGAAATGGCA